AACATTTCAGACACTGCATATATATATATGTGTGTGTGTGTGTGTGTGTGTGTGTGTGTGTTTTTTCAGAATTGAGTTATCTTTTAACAGTGACAATTAAGGGCTCCAGAACAGTCCTAGCACATAGCCAGGATTGGCTCTGGTCTTCCTGCCCCTAACAGATGGCTGCAAAACAGAATGTGCTCTCCACAACAGTCTTGTGGAGGATATGCAACATGTTGATGTGGACACTGAGGGACCTTAGCTTCTTTAAGAAGCACAGTCTCAAGACTGTTCTTCTTAATGCATGAATACAGGAGTTGCCTTAGAAGTATTTCACCCTGGGGAGGTGCAGCTGCAGGAGTGCCTTCTTATCACAAAGCTTATTGTGATTGCACTCACAGCAGCTCTCAGTTTAACCCAATTATTGCATTCCTCACAGCTTGGTTAAGCCCCCATGAAGTTAATAACAACGTTGTTGCATAATAACAATTTTTTATCTGGGATTAGACATTTTATATTAAGATATAAAGACAAGTGAAAATAAATTTATAGTGTACCCATTATATCTATTTTAAAGACAAAATATGGATGGGAATCTATTCACTTAACCTCTGCGAGCTATTATATATTAAAAATTAACAATTTGTGTTATGTTTTGAAGGGAAATGGGATTTCTAGCAGTATTTTGATTGTGATAACAGTCACTCCTTTTTGGGGTGAAAAAAATCTTGAACTGAAAGGAAACAGTTTGAAATACGAGGGGAATGAGCATTAGGCAGATAGCACTTTAATGTTTAAAATCTAAAATAGCATTTTATTCACAAACGTAGTGGACGCACTGTCAAATTTTGGCCTATTTCATACTAATAGATACATAATGTGGCCTTTCTGTTCCTTCAACCAACTGATGTGTCTAATTATGCCATGTTGTGGTTCCAAGACAATTGTTATGGAGAACATTGTACGTTAAAAAATTAAATGTTTTGTCAACCATCTTTTTACTGACATTTTTAGCTGTCAGAAAGCATTTCTTTAGAATAATATAAACACCGTGTCACGAAGACAGGGATGCACCAGCAAGACTAAAAGGGCACATGTTAGCATTTTCCCTGACAGACGACTTTTTCGGAGGGCAAAAAACCTCCTAGGAAAGAGATCAGAGTGGATTGCTTTTCCTGTGATCCGATTGAATATTACAGTGGAGACTTCAGTATAAATTCCATCTTTCGCAGAGTGTTCTGCATGACAAATAACTATCTGAAACCCCCTTCAGCTGGTAATGCACTGGCCTAACCCAAAACAAGGAAAGCCAGAATCTGCAGCATTTCCAGTAAAATCCACTTTCCTGAAATGTGAAGTGGGAGATTAGAATTAGTTTTTACCAGCCACTTTTGAAAGGCACAGATGGACATTTTTATCCATCTGTGCCAAATATATTGGTTTGTCTTTGCTGATGAATGGTTATTTATCGACATCAAATAGACGTTTGCAAGCTTTAATCACACAATAATTGCTAACGTCTCATTTCATGAAGCAGTTAGAACAGTTTAGATTGTATTTTTGAGGGAGACCGATATAAGCTTTGCATATATTTTGGTTCAGTGTTGTATTTTAAGTGGCACCCTCTGAACACTTGCATACAAGAAAAGCGCACCCAACGTTGTCGCGGTTCTAATGCCAGCTAAATCTTTAACCTTTCTCTTCGTCGCATTGAGTGACTCCATGTCGAAGATGCAGACGGGGACAGAAAGAAAGAGATAAGGGAAGAGGGAAATTGAGTAATGGCAATAAAAGGGTAAAACTGAGAGGAGTGGAGAGCAAAATAGGAGCAGAGAAGGAGAGAGCGGTCATTTGAAGTTTTTTTGGCAGTCCTCAGTAACTTGGCAGCTATTGAGTTGGTATCACTCTCTTGCCAGCGAGGACTAACATGTGCCAGTGCATGCCAACTTGAAGCCTACGCCTGCTGCCCCGGCCAGGCGTTTGAAAAAAAAAGAAGAGAAAAGTAAAATAAGCCTTAGTTTTGACACTTTGATGTTGAAGGGGATTTAAGGTTCCCTGAAATACTATCTGGCTCGGCGGAGATATGGAGGAAAGGGCACTGACTGGGGAGGAAGGAGGCCTTAGGAGGGAGAGTGAAAATTGAGAATGCCGTGCGTTAGATGGGTCAAGCGTTAGAAAATGCAACTGTGTAAAGCAAAAGTGGTAATTTGCTGCTTTCCACAGACTTGGTCTCATTTCTTCTAGGGAGACCATTCATTGAAATCTTATCCAATCTGATTTTATGATTTGGATTTGACTTAAAAAATGTAAACCTTTCAGGATTTCGAATGCTGTTATAACATGAAAGTTTTTCAGTTAAGGTTAAACAAAAAAGATCAAAACGCCATCACGTTGCAGGCCTGTAAATGGCCTCATTTCTCCTCAGGAGCCTTCCTGTTATCAGAGCAGAACCAGCTCTGGGATGTTTTCAGACCATGATCTTTTTTCACCCATCTTTGGTCGAACAGCTCACAGCTCCATGTCTTAGTTCCCATCATCCCACATTCGTCACACAACTCACAGATAGTAATTGTTCATCACTAACAGTACATTTTCTAAGTCCAGATGTTGCTGAGATATGCTGATATGGGTTAGGGTTTGCGATATACATGAATCTTTGTCCCTTAGTTGTGCATGGAGTGAGGCAAATATGATCACTACGTAGCCCCCAAGCTAAGATGACTTTATTTTTCTTTTGTGTTAGCACACAATACTTTTGCGTGTACTTGCATTAGGTTTTGCCTGCCCATAAGCAAGCGGGATATTCAGCCCAGTTTACATCAGCACATGGAGCACCCAAACAAGTTTCTACGGTTCTATTTTGATAACGTTTGCAATATGAAGATATGATTTTGCGAGAACTTATTGCGAGAGCACGCAAAAGCAGTGTGTGGGAATGCAAAAAAAAAAAAATTGCCATGTTGCCTGGGGGGCTCAGAAGATAATCAATTGAGTCAAATTATTTTTTAAACCAAAGATCTGCAGATGTTTAGATATCTTTTAAAACACCGCACTTACACTTGTTGAAAAAATAAATGTCAGAGGAAGCTCGGTCAGAGAAGCATTTTTAATTGTTCCAACCAAAACATGTTCTTCGAATTGGATCAGGAAAAACACTCTGCCAGCAAAATTTTCGACCTCATTTACTGTGAATGATGAGACTTTCATACACGTCTATACACATATACCTCCATTTATCTGCCTGCTACCCCTGTGCAGGAACCTATCAACACGTCCATCTCTCTGCTTCTTCCTTCTGTCTCCCTGTTAGTTAGCTTGATTGTCAAATTAATCTACAGCTCCATCCAGGTACAAACACGCTGCCTGCTGGCCAGGGTACATCCCCCTCTATTAGCTCCATAATTCAAAGCCCTTTCAGCAGCCAGCCCTGATCATAGGTGGGTAATTGCAGGGATAGTGAGTCTGATTTATTTGAGGCGGCGGATAGGGTGGATTACAACCTGATTTGGGAATTCATTTGCAACTCATTTTGCATTTCGTGTAATTGGAATTTGTGTTTTTCGGGCCACCGCAACACATGTTGCTGAGAGTTGTAGTTTGGCTGTAATAGAACTGTGGACATCCATAACCCATATAAATTAGACTCAAATCTAATGGTTGGATTATGTGCAACAACAGCCTCGGAAATTACTTTCAACTCAACCTTTAGGTGAATAAGGGCTTAGAAATTTCGACAGACCAATCCATTGTACTTTAGTACAATTTGAATTTAATAACGTGGTCCATAATATGAACTCTGACCCCGACTGTCATTTTAACAACACAAAAGGCTATTTTGCATTGTTCTGGGTTCTGTTTTGTCAGTTGTTTGTCAGGAGTGTCATTAGTCTGAAGATGCTTTTACCCTCATACCTTATAACTCAGCATAAAGCTCATTCCCCATTTGTTCTAACAGATGCACATAGAGGTCATGAACATGCCTCCATTGTTTGGATGGAATTTAAAATCCCTGCATTTTATTCAGAGCTGCCTTCAAATGCTAATAAATGCAAATAAATAGGGGGAAAAAAGCGTCCAAGCGTGTCCCAATTTGATTTTTTTTTTGCCACATTCCAAAATAACAAGCCAAAGGCAGCAGACTCACACACAGACACGCACACACACACACACACACACACACACACACACACACACACACACACATAACATCCATGTATTTATGTGCAGTGTTTAAAAAAAAACTACCAGGTACCAGAATAATTACTTACGTTTCTGCGATGATTACACAAGTATCTAATTAAGTGAAGTATAATTGTTGTTATTTTTTATTGCATTTTCAAAATCTATTTCAAGAAATCGAATAATAGAGACGGACACTGCTATTTCATGGTGGAAAAAAAAGAGAGCTGACTGAAAAAAAAAGTCCAACTTAAAGCTCATTGCGATGCTGAATGGCCTCTCGGGCAAAAGGGAAAGACTAAAAGTATTCTCAGTGTGCTCAGTATGCTTTGGAGTCTATTGCAGAAAGTGGTATTTCCAACATGAGCCAAGAAAGAGGCAGGAAACAAAAGTTAACTGAAGCAGATGGCACACACCTCAAGATCTGAAGCAGCAGAGACAGTAGGAAGAGCACTGCTGATCCTCAAGCAGAGATGAAGGCTTCTAGATCAGAGTTTGAGAGAGTATCCAGACTGAACAGAAGCAAGTAACTGATAGAACACATCTAGAAGACTAGATGCTACATAAACACTGGCTGACTAATTAATTTGTTGCTGAATGGTTTCTAGACAGCCCTGCTCGGCTGCGGCTTCTTCGGCTCCGGTTAGCATCGCAAACCTTATACTACATTCGGCAGTTAAAACAGCGATTCCCGTACCCACAACACAGCGACACACTGTAGGAACAGTGTACACCCGTGGAACTATAATTAGTCTCAGGAAATTTGGGCTTCCACACTTCCTCTGCACGGAGACGCGGACCGCACTCGCTAGCCTCGGACTGTTACGCCGAACGGCCAGCGGACCAACGGTCCCTCCCTCAACCAGAGACCACCCATGGAGACGTCGGAGACGGTGCGACAGGAAGCAGAAGCGCGGCTGCCGCGGAGGACTAACAGCTAAACTAAAAACTAAACCATACAGATTGCCGCTTCCCTCACTGCTGCTCGCCAACGTACGCTCCCTGGAAAATAAAATGGACTACCTCAAGCTGGAACTACATTCAAAGCTTGAAACAAGAAACTGCTGTGCCATTGTCCTCTCTGAAACATGGCTCAGTGCATCGGTCCCAGATTGCGCAATCAGCCTGGATGGGTTAACAACATTCAGAGCTGACAGAAGCAGTGCTCTCACAGGTAAAAGCAGAGGGGGGGACGTTTGCATCTACACAAAGAACAGCTGGTGTAACAACGCTTCCTGGGTCTCCAGTCACTGCTCTGCAGACATTGAACTCCTGACTGTGAGATGCCGACCCTTTTACCTGCCACGTGAATTCACCAGCGTCACCATTGTTGCTGTTTACATCCCACCCAGCGCCAACACGAAGCAAGCCCTCAGTGTTCTCTACCATAACATCCCAGACATGCAAGCCACACAGCCGGATGGTGTTTTTATTGTTGCTGGCGACTTCAACCAGGCCAACATGAAGACTGTACTTCCAAACTTTTACCAACACGTGGACTTTGCTACAAGAGGGGAGAACATGCTGGACCTTGTTTACACCAACATAAAGAAGGCATACAGAGCAGCCCCCCGCCCACACCTGGGCTCCTCAGACCATCTCTCTGTCATGCTAATTCCTGCATACCAGCCCCGGCTCATCAGAGAAAAACCTGCAGTGAAGAAGGTCCGGGTATGGCCTGAGGGAGCGATGTCTGCACTACAGGACTGTTTTGAGTGCACTGAATGGAGCATCTTCAAGGAGGCTGCAACAGACAACCAGCGCACCAACGTAGAGGAGTACGCTGCGTCGGTGTCCGACTACATCAGTTGGTGCATGGAAAACGAGACAGCAACAAAAACAATTGTTACTCGGGCAAACCAGAAACCTTGGATGACCAAGGAGGTTCGAGCGAAGCTTAGAGAACGAAATGCTGCGTTCAAATCTGGTGATGCTGTGGCTCTCAGGTCTACAAGGGCTAACCTGAAGCACGCCATCAGAGATGCCAAGCGAGCCCATAGCCGGAAAATCCAAGGTCTTTTCCAAGACTCCAACGACACGAGGAAACTGTTGCAGGGCATCCAGTCTGTCACGGACTACAAACCCCCTCCCTCATCCTGCCAGAACGACACCGGCTTCCTCAACGAGCTCAACAACTTCTTTGGAAGATTTGAGGAGCTGAACTCCAACCCTGCGAGGAAAGCGACACCACACCCCGACGAACAGGCGCTCAGACTAGAAACATCAGCAGTGCGGAAAGTTCTGAGGAAGGTCAACGCGCGGAAAGCTGCAGGTCCCGACAACATTCCAGGTCGGCTGATTAAAGAATGCTCGGACCAGCTGACCCACGTGCTCACGGACATCTTCAACACGTCCCTGAACCAGGCCGTCGTCCCACGGTGCTTCAAGTCTGCCACTGTCGTTCCGGTCCCAAAGACAACCACCATCACGTGCCTTAACGATTTCCGCCCCGTCGCACTCACATCTTCCATCATGAAGTGCTTCGAAAGACTTGTTAAGGACCACATTATCTCAACGCTCCCCCCATCACACGACCCGTTCCAGTTTGCGTACCAGCCCAAGCGCAGTGCGGAGGATGCAGTCTCCACTGCTCTCCACCTGAGCCTGGAGCACCTGGAGGAGAAGAACACCCACGTACGGATGCTGTTCCTGGATTTCAGCTCAGCATTCAACACGATCATCCCCCAGGACCTGGTAGGCAAACTGGGGCCCTTAGGAATAAACACCCCCCTATGCAACTGGCTGCTGGACTTCCTCACTGACAGAACCCAGGCTGTCAGAGTGGGGAACAACACCTCCAACGTCATCACCCTGAACACTGGCACTCCCCAGGGCTGTGTCCTAAGCCCCCCGCTGTTCACCCTGATGACCCACGACTGCCGTCCACGCCTCAGCTCCAACCACATCCTGAAGTACGCGGACGACACCACAGTAGTGGGCCTCATCCGGGACAACAATGAGGCGGCCTACAGGGAGGAGGTGCGGCATCTGGTGGACTGGTTCTGAGTGAACAACCTGATCCTGAACGTCAAAAAGACCAAGGAGATTATCGTCGACTTCAGGAATTCCAGACCCACCCACACACCCCTCCTCATCAACAACTCAGCTGTGGAGGTCGTAAGCAGCACCAAGTTTCTGGGAGTGCACATCACTGACAACCTCAGCTGGTCAGTCCACATCTCCTCACTGGTGAAGAAGGGCCAACAGCGCATGCACTTCCTGCGTCGGATGAAGAGAGCATCCCTCCCGCCCCCCATCCTTCAGACCTTCTACAGAGGGACCATCGAGAGCCTGCTGACCAGCTACATCTCCATCTGGTCTGGGAGCTGCAAGGCCTCTGACTGGACGTCTCTTCAGAGGGTGGTGAGGACAGGGGAGAAGATCACGGGGGCGACGTTCCCCTGCATCCAGAACATTGCGGACAGGCGCTGCCTTTCCCGGGCTCGCCAGATACTCTCCGACCCCACCCACCCCAACCATGGACTGTTTTCCCCCCTGGCGTCCGGCAGAAGGTTCCGCAGCATCTTCTGCAGAACGACCAGACTACTAAATAGTTTCTTCCCCCTTGCCATCAGACAACTTAACGCCACATAACCCCCCCCCCCATACACACACACACATATTTATTGATATTTCGTTGCTAAAAATTTTACTCTGGTAGCCAAGAAATTGACATTTCGTTGTCTAATTCACCTTGTGTTTTTGACAATGACAATAAAGGAAGTCTATGTCTATGTCTATGTCTAGATAGATAGATAGATAGATAGATAGATAGATAGATAGATAGATAGATAGATAGATAGATAGATAGATA